TTTTTTTTTCATTTAGTCGTATTTAAGGCATTCCTGGAATGAAACATCAAATGAGTCAGTACTAATTAGAGTTTCTAATAATAATCAACAGTCAAGTATGCATGACATGACTGCTGAACATCCTGGCTGTACTACTTTTATCTACAACCTCAATCTCCCACGTATCAGGGGACGTGAAAGGGATTACAAATTTCTGCTTCAAATCAAACTTGTATATCAATTTAATTTGGTTGCCACAGAAACGCTGTGATTTCTTCAATTTGCATCCTACTGTCGTAAAAGTGAACAGCTAACTAGGACAAAGATTATAAGCTCAGAGTGAAAAGCGTTCATGAAAATACATGGCCACTACTGCAGGAATAATACAATTTAATTCAAAATATTTTCAACTATACCAGGCTTTGCTCTCTGAAAATTGCTGGAAGATAAAAAAAATAACTCTCCTCAAAGCAGTGAGACGAGTTATGACAGTGTAAAATTAAAAAAAAAAATTATTTATGGCAAATTTTTTAGCTTCCCTAGGTGAAATTTTGCATGAGCAAATCGCCTTAAAAGGAAAGGTCTGCTATATAAAATAAGTATGATTAATTAGCTAATTATCTTCCCATATCCCAATGATTTATTGGTTTAACCTACTCCACACAGGTATAAATTCAGTCTGAGGGGAAATTCATTAAATTATTGATCAAAATCTTGATGCATTCAATGCTATTCAAATAACTGTACAGAACTACTCTGAACATTTTTTAATGTCCAACCACTATTATACCCAGAAACAATGGCACAACACATGTACACAAAGTTGCTTTCTAAAATACACTAAAGATAGCCTTGGCCTGGGCCCTCCATTTATAGAGCATCAAACTTAATAACATCTAGGCATTGAGTCAAATTACGATCATGTAGGATAATAGTCATCTAGGAATGTAAAACAAGAGTATAATGCCACAAAACACACCTTTACAGATGAATGATAGCAATTGCACTGAAATAAATGCACACTGGACCACAGTAAAGTATAAAACCAATAAATAGAGACAAGTGTTGACTTCAAGCCAACTTCATTCCCATGGGGTTTGACAAGGACAGGTTTCCAAGCATAGTGTCAATATAATCACTAGAGAGAAAACATCTTCTGACAGGTATGAAATATTTATTAAAACTGACACAAAGTGAGTAGATTAATTTGACACAGATGGGTGGCTATGATGAACAAATAACTATATTGGACAAATACATGTAACCCAGACCTTTGTTTTGAAAACCAGCGATTGATCAATTTGCTTGTGCAAAATTTTGCCTGTGGGAGCGAAAAAAAACACAAAAAACTCCTCAATTTTTTTGATATGACACATAGAAAATTTCTCAATATATTAAAATAACTCCTATAACTCACTTCAGTGCTTTTAGGAAAGCTATTTTTCAATCTCCAGCCATTTTTAAAAGGCAAATAGGGAATAAAATACGGGGGTAGGGGGGCAACAAATGCTAATAGGTAGATTCTGTGTATGAGCAATGATGACATTTGAAATTATTTTGATTTAATAAAATGTCTCTCATAATGTGGTCAAAATTCAAACATGGAAATCAAATAATGTTGTCAGTTACCTGTTACCAGATTAATTATTTACAAGTTAATGCAGAGGCAAACAGAATTCTTGCAATTTAACACTTTTCAAAAAACAGGGATTGAGAAAGTTGTTTAAAAAAAATGAACATGCAACTTGCTAGTAAAGAGCATAACCATGACATTTGAAAACTTTTACCGTATTTGTCTAAAAAAACGTCTATTTGTCTAAAAAAAACATCCTGAACTTTTTCCAGGAGTTACATTTCTCGCAGGTTGACAACCTTTTGGTTGCAAAAAATGATGCTAATTTATTCATGAGTTGCAGATGACAAAGCTTCAGATATATTCTAATTTAGAAGTCATTTTTACAAATATTTCAATCTAAAATTAGAGTCTATTGAAGTGTTGTAGAGAAGATGGCACAAATCAAGAATATGATGTGAAATTTTGAGAAACGTGAATAGGTAGACAATGATTACTTATCACCATGAAAATTGTAAATACTTTAATATTTATCTTCCGAAAATTACTGCAATTTTTTTTCAATAAAATCAATGCCAAAAGATCATGCTGCAATATTGCTAAATGACTTCCATCAATGTGGCTATTCAGAAATTTCAAATAATTTCACATCGCCGAAAAAA